TCAATATCACTTATCATTTGAGAGATGCAAATTAAACAATGTTGAGATTTCAACTCACTCCAGAAAGAATGGCTATTATCAAGAAATCAGCCAATAACAAATGCTGGTGGGAAAAAGGGAGCCCCTTTCCACTGTTGGTGGGAGCGTAGACGGGTGCAATCACTGAGGAAATCAGTGTGGAGAGTCCTCAAAAAACTAGGACTACAGATTTCATTGAATGGAGTTGGTCCCCTTCTCAGAGTCTTCCTGAAAGGACTGAAAGCATAACCGCAGTGACATATGCGTACCCATGTTTATAGAGGAACAGTTCGCAATGACTGAATCTTGGAAACAGCCCAAATGCCCATTAATTGACGAATAGATAAAGAAGATGTGGCGTTTGTATACAGTGGTATACTACTCTGCCATAAAGAAGGATAACCATTTTGAGGTATATGGATGCACCTCGAGACTACACTTTTCTTTGACACAAGGTCTCACATTGCTCAGTCTGGCCTTGAAATCACTATAGTCTAGGCTGGCTCAAACTCATAGCTATCCTCCTGCCTCAGCCTCGCAAATGCTGTAATTACAGGCACGCACCACTTCGCCCAGCCTAGACCCTACTCTTAAGTGAAACAGACAGACACATGTGTAAATACCACATTGTTTCTCTGGTGTGAGAAAGCAAAAGTGTCAGTAAGAACCCAAATGTACAGCAGGTACAGTGAAACAGGAAGAAAATGTTCAAGTGGGGAGGGGGACAAAGAAGGAGGTGGAGGAAAGGGAAGAGGGGGAAAGAAGGAAAACCTGGAAACAAAGCTACTCTAAATGGGGAGGGGAGAAGGGGCTGAAGGGAGAAGAGGGGAATGGAAAGAAGACAATTCGGTTGTGTCGCATACCGGTACAATTTCTGCGTGATGAATGTGATCATTATTTACACCTAAAATGTACCAATAAAATCTGATTGAAAGAAGGAGAATTATGAAAAGGACACAGGATTAAAGGGTGAACTCTCGCTGCTCCTCTGCTGCAGTTTGCTGTCCTTACCTGGACTCTTCTGGTGGTTTACTAAACCTATTTGTTCCACGGGGAGAGGACTAGGGCTAGCTGCTTGTAAGGTTTCAAGTGAAACTGAAATGAGAGTTCACTTCCTCATCCTGGACACTCATGTGACAAAGTCCAATTTCTTTTTATAGTTAATTCAGCTGAAGTCTCTTTACTGCCTTTGAAATCTTCGGAGCGAGCTCACCAATTCACCGCCTCGTTATGGGAGCGTCTGCCGGTTTTGCCATGTAGGTACTTCGGCTGCTTTTTCCCATTTGGTCTTTAAATACTCTTCGCTTATGTCTTAGCTCGCTCTTCCTGCCAGGTTTTAAAGCTTTGATTCCAGGAAGTAAACTAAAAAAAAGTAAATAAATAAAATCACATCACTTAAAAAGAATTTATTTTTGAAACTTAATGTCTGATTGAGCGGCTAAACTTGAGGCAGAACCTTACCTTTCCTTGGAGTATAATTGGAAGATTTACATGTTTAAAATTTCAATTGTTTTGAATTAAAAAGAAATGGAAAAGAAAGTAGAATTTAGTCTGGTACATTCAATGAATTTCTGTAGAAATATCTTGGAATTGAATACAGAAGTAGTGTTTTAGAGAGTAATTGCCTTCTTTGAAATAGATACTTGATTGTTGAAAAAAAAATTAAAAATAACCCCAGCATTCTGTGAGGTGGACGTCAGGAGGATTGAAAGGTTTGAGCCTAGCCTGGGCAACTCAGTAGGACCTTGTCTCAAAATAAGAAATTAAGGGCCAGGGATATAGCTCAGCAGCACAGCACCTGCACCACAAGGTCCTGAATTCAATTCTCCATACAAAGAGAGAGAGAGAGTTTTAAATATCTCTAGAAGTTATTTTATTTTATTTTTAAATTAAGCTTCTTGCAATCTGGGGATGAACCCAGAGCTTTGCCCATGCTAGGCAAATATAGTTCTACCACTGAACTACATCCTCAGCCCTATTTATTTATTCTTGAGATGAATCTTGCTGTATTACCCAAGCTGGCCTTTGACTCCTGGGCTCACGTGATCCTTCTGTCTCAGCCTCCTGAGCAGGAGGGACCACTGGCACATGGCCCCACATCTGGCTTTCCTCCCATTGTGTGGCTGTATGGAGGGTAGTACTGGGGATCAAACTCAAGCAAGGCAAGGCTCTCTGCTGAGCTGCATCTCTAGTCTTTTTTATTTTTATCTGGAGACAGGGCCTTGCTAAATTGCTCAACTGGCCTCAACCTTCACAGTTTGTGGATTATAGTCAGGTGCCACCAGGCCCAGGCATTTATTTTTTTTTTTTAATTATCTTTTAACAGATACATACAAACAGAAAATTGCATATTTTGATGGGGGTACCATGGGATATTTCCACACCTGTTTATACTAGGTTCTTGCAGATTTAAACAGACCAGCTCATAAAATAAGTTCACTTATTATTATTATTATTATTATTATTATTATTATTATTATTGATACTGGGACTCAAACTTGTGACCTTGTGCTTGCCAAGCAGGTGCTTATGCTGCTGAGCTATCTCCTGGGCCCCAAATTAACATATTAAAAAATTTAGAAGGTAAATAAATTTTTCAGAAGCATGTCTTTTAAGGATTTCTTTTTGAAAAAGAGGAAAGATGATTTCCTTTGATTAGATGTGTTGGAAAATCCTGGAAAGTCCCTACTTTATAACACTCTCACTGCGTTTAATTTACTAAATATTAGAAAATTTCTGAAAAATACTTTTTTGTCCTTTTTTTTGTGATACCAGGGATTGAACTCAGAACCCTGCACTTGCCAGGCAGACTCTTATTCTACTGAGCTATCTCCCTGACCCTGAAAATCATTTTATAAAGTGTTGCTACGTTGAGACAGGAGGATCTCCACAAATTTGAGGCCAGCCTGAACTACATAGCAAAACAGTCTCAATTTTTTTTTTCAATTTCTATAAATAAGTAAATAAAAAAGTGTTACTAAGTATTGGAAGTTGTATTTCAGACATAGTTCTGTGCTTTCGCCTTGTGACTATATATTACAAGGAGTTATTTTTCTAATTCTGGTTGAATTGGTGTTTTTGTCTTGAAACTACATGGTCACACTGCGTGCAGCTCAGCGCTCCACTTCCTATGGTACCTTCTTCCCACAGAATGAAGTGGCTGGCGTGGGTGTTTGTGGCGTGCTCTTCGGCGATGGCACAGCTGAGTAAAGATCCTACACTGGATCACCACTGGCATCTCTGGAAAAAAACCTATGGAAAGCAATACCAGGAAAAGGTAGACAAGGTTGCCACTTGGGCAATACGCTTTTACTCCAGTACCCACCCCAGTTTCTCACTCTCAAAACTGTGTTCTTGCAAGCGGTGTTTTCTAGAAATAGTACACACTTATTTCTTATCCTGGGTGCCATACAGTAGGAAACAAAACAAAATTCCTGTTACTATGGAGCTTCTGGGACTGCAAGAGAAAGGAAGTGAGTAAGTAAACAAGCAGATAGACGTAGTGTATTGGAGGGTGGTGAGGGCAGTGCAGAAGGGCAGTGCAGAAAAAGAAGAGGCGTGTGGGTCTGGGTGGTCGCGGTGAGAAATCCGTACAATGGTGCGATGGTGTTGGGAGGGCCAGCGGAGAAATGAGCGGGAACTAGCAGAAGCAGGGGGCAGCAAACTGGACGATGAGTGAGTCCCGGGTCAAAGGAATATGCGCGTATGACTTAAGAAGAACACATTTGGCGTGTTTGAGGAACAAAAAGTTCTGTAATGGCCCTTGGCATGGAGGGCAACTGGTAGAATGTGAAGTTTGACTCTCACTTCCCACTTCAGTTTTTATTTTAAAGTATACTTGTTTCTGGGCCTGGTGGCTCATGCCTGTAATCCCGGCACAAACAAGGCTGAGGCAGGAGGATTGTGTGTTCAAGGCCAGCCTGAGCTGCATTGTGAGACCCTGTCTCCAAAAGAAAACAAATAACTTGTTCATTGATTTTTTAATGTATTTGGTACATGGCCTCACTACACAGCCCAGACTCACAGTGATCCTCCTGTTTTCAGCCTCCTCAGCCCTAGGATTACAGGTGTGCACCACTACACCCAGTCTTGGTGACTGGCTCAGTGCGCCCAGGGGCGGGGCCGGCAGTGCATGTGGTGCCAGGGATTGAACCCCAGTCCTTGCACTTGTCTAAGCAGGCACTTAGTCCACTGAGCTATCTCACCAGCTCTGGTTAATTGATTTTTAAAGTTCTAACTTTATCGTTTTACATAACTAAATCCTACAACTGTGTGACCATTTAATAGTCCTGTTATTGTACATTATCTTATATTATTTGATGGATTAGTGTTTTGTTTTGGTTTGGTTTTTTCAGCATTGGGATTTGAATCCAGAGGCTTTTGCTGAACTGAATCCCCAGTCCCTTTGATTTTTTTCTTTTTGAGACAAGGTCTTACTAAGTCACTAAATTGCCCAGGCCAGATTCAAACTTGTAGTCCTCCCTGCCGCAGCCTCCCAGAGCGCTGGGTTACATGCATATGCCACTGCACCCACCTCCTTGGGCCTTTTCAAAACAGTTTGATACAGGATCTCTTTAAGTTGCCCAGTCTGGCATCAAACTTGTGATCTCCATCTTTGCCTTCTCAGAAACTAGAATAGAGGTCTGTGCCACCATGCCAGGATAACTTATTTTATACGAAAAATTTGAGCATCCTCAAATTTGTTATCCCTGAGGCAAGGATCTTTGAACCAATCTTTCAAGTATATAAAGGACAATTATGTAGATCTTTCACTTATGTTAAATTTACTCTGCAGTATTTTTTCATGTTGCTGTAAATGGAATTGTTTTCTGAATCTCTTTTCCGGTAATTCGCTGTCAATGTATACAAATATTATTGACTTTTGTATATTAATTCTTGTTGTTTCCTTGAGACAAGGTCTCACTATGTAGCTCAGGCTGGCCTTGAACTCACTTTGAAACCCAGGCCGCCTCAAACTCATGATGATCCTCCTGCCTCAGCTTCCCGAGTGCTAGAATTATAGGCATGTACCTCCATGCCTGGTTTATATATTAATTTTATACCCTGCAACTTTTCCAGATTTGTCTCAGATCTAACAGTATTTTAGTGGAGTCTTTAGGGTTATCTTTTTATAAAAGCATGCCTTCAACAAACAATTTCACTTTTACTTTTCCTATATGGATACCCTTCTTTGTTTTTCTTGCCTACTTGCTCTAAGACTTTGATGTTGCATAAATTGGTGAGAGTAGGTGTCCCTTTTTGTTCTCCCATCTCAGAGGACAACCTTCAACTGTTCCTGGTTGAGTATGGTGGAACCTGGGCTTATAACACATGGCCTTTCTCATGTTGAAGAACATTCTTCTATGTCTAAAGTGTTGAGAGTTTTTATCACAAAGGGCTGTCTTGTCAGATGTTTCCTCCACCGAGATGATCACATGGTTTTCATAGTGGCAATGACGTTCCACTGCCACCCACTCCAGTTCAGGACCAGGGCCCTCATTTAAGAGTCAACTAGAGGGCCGGGGAGATAGCTTGGTGGTCTAAATGCCTGCCTGGCAAGCACAAGGATCCGGGTCCAATTCCCAGTACTGCATGCCGTGCGGGCCCTGGAATCCCAGGCACACAGTGTAGGTCACCGAAACTGGGCGTGGTGGTGTGCACCCATAATCCCAGCACTGGGGAGGCTGAGACAAAGGATCACTATGAGTCCAAGTTGTGTAGTGAGACCCTGAACCAAATAAATAAATAAATTTCCAAAAAAAAAATTTTTTTTAAAGTTTAAAAAAAGGATAGTTAACTAGAGTTAGGCTGAGGATATAGCTTAGTAGCATAAGTGCCTGCCTGGCAAGTGCAAGGTTTAACCCCTGGTACCATAAAAAAAAAAAAAAAAAAGTTAACTAGAGTTAAGTGTGCAGTTATCATTCCTATCGGATTAAGTGAATGCTAGTCCTCGATTTCATAATTCCAGCATTTCAGGAAGAAGGCTCATGACTTTTGATTAATATCCCACCTTAACAGTTTATCTCTAGTCCACTTTTTCTCTTTTTTTGTGTTTTGTCACATTTCTATTCATTTTTCCCTTTTTTTTTTCTCCTCTAGTGGTTTGGACGTAGGTCCATTGTGCAAGCCCATAATGTCAATGGCTGGCAGGTAGTAAAACGTGCTTCCAAAAAGAGAGGGCTGCATCTGGGAGGCTTCCCGAGCCAGGGCCAGAGCACCCAGGGGAAGGAGGCCAGGCAGGACTCGCTGGCTGCTCACGGGGCCTGCAGCTCCTCCTGGCCTTGGTGTGGTGGGAAGAGTCAGCTGTTGTGGAGGTGCCAGGTACACCTCGTTCTCTGTGCGTGTTGCATTCCGTGTGCATTCTGTAGCGACTCTCCTGGAACACCAGTATGTATAAATTGACTCTAGATAAAATTAAAATAACAGAACCAAAGATGACTTGATACATAAAGGAAAAACACACACTGATGAACATTAAGTTTGTGAAATAAATTAGAAATCTTGGAAATTTAAAAAATGCCCACTGTAATACAAATTCAATCAGCATGATAAACTCCAAAACCATTGTCTAGAATCAGTTATCTGGGAGACAGAGCTGAGGCACTCCTCAGAATGCCAGTAAGAGATAAAAAATACTTGAGGTTCCAAAATACATTTAATATGCCTTTCTGAAGGATAAAATTAGATGGAATGGTAGAGAAGAAATATACATATGAAAAGTTGCTGTTTGAAAATTTCCAAATATGAGAAAAGTTCTGAATTGTCCAGTCAAGAGTACCCAGCATAGCTGAACGTGGTGGCACCCACCTGTAATCCCAGCACACCAGGAGGCTGAGGTGGGAAGATGGCAAATTCAATCACAGCCTGGGCAACTTAGTGAAACCCTATCTCAAAATAAAGAATTAAAAAAGGCCATGGGTGTAGCTCAGTGTGAAGACAGACCTGGGCTCAACCCCCTACCACTCTACACACACAAAGAATAATCAGCAGAAGATAAATAGTCAGAAGCTACAGAACATAAAAGTATAACAGAAGGGCTGGCCAGATAGCTCAGTGGATTAAAGTACCTGCTTAGGCAGATGCAGTGGCCAGGGTTCGATTCCCAGCATGCTGTGCTGCCCCCACCCCCAGGATGCGCTGAGATGGTGTTTAAGACTTGGTGTGGTGGTGTGTGCCTGTAACCCCAGGGCTTGGGAGGCTGAAAACAGGAGGATCACTATGAGTCCGATCTATGTATTGAGACCCTGTAGACCCTGTACTAAATACATTAAAAAAAGAAAAAAAAAACTATAAGAGAAAACTCTACCAGAGCTAAAACTCTTAGAACATAAGACTAGGTTCAGCAGGCCCATCCCTGAGTTTTCTACTGTAAATTTGTACCTCAGTGTAATAGTAGCCAACTGTGCATCTTAGTACCTTTCCCTGGAGGATACAGGAAGCAATCTATGTGTTTACCCACTTGGTCTGACAAACAGCAGGGAGTATACATGTGTATAAAAGTTTCAAAACAGGATTTGACACTTTATGCTTCATCTAACTGGCTTTGCATATTCATTGCACAAGGTCCAGTGTATCCACACCACTCCAAGATTTATTTCTTTAAAGTTTTCTTTTGATTTTTCTGGTAGAAATAGCCCAATTAAGTACAATGGCATATGAAAAACCAGTTTTTCAAGTTTTGGAGGAAGTCAAAAGAGAATTAGGTTACTAATGCCTGGATGATGAACATGATTCATTATGGTAAAATACACACTTTCATAACAGAAGGGTGGTGTGGGTGTGTGACGGTGGCAATCACAACAGTGATGACTTTGGTGTTGGCCGTGCAAGCCAAAATTCTGTGACAGTAAAATGGAGGGAGGGAGCAGGCTCAGGGGCTGGGTGTTTGATCCCTGGGCCTATAGTGCTGGCCCCACGCGCCAGGGCGTGCTGAGACAGCCACTGAGCCTGGGCATGGTGGCATGTGCCTGTAATCCCAGCTCTTGGGAGGCTGTAAACAGGAGGATCACTATGAGTCCAAGGCTGATCTAGTAGTGAGACCCTGAACATCCTGTAGACTCTTCCCTAAAATACATAAATAAATAAATAAATAAATAAATAAAATGGAGGGAGAATCAACTGATACAGACACAGGAAATATAGACCTCCTTGATTCAGATGAACAAAACAGCAATGTGAGTATCTGGCTAGTTGAAATATTGCAAAATAGCTATGTATGCAACCAAATGAAACAATACAATGTTAGAACTTGGCCAAATATCTAGTGCAGGTCAGGTC